CCGCCGCTTCCTCCAAGCCAGTACGCCTGCCAAGCCTGCCGCTTCCGCTGCGCCTGCTTCCGCCGCTTCCGCTGCCTTACTCGCTTCGCCTGGGCCGCCTGCCAAGCCTGCTGCTTCCTGCCTAAGCCGTCCGCCTGCTTCCGCCGTGCCAAGCCCGGCTGCCTGCCGCTTCCGCCGCTTCCGCTTCGCCTGCCGCCTGCCGGCCGCCAAGCCTGCCGCCTGGGCCTGCTTCCGCTGGTCCGCTTCAAGCCGCTTCCGCCGCCCGCTTCGCTTGCCGGCTTCCGCTGCCTGCTGCCACTAAGCCGCTCCGCCGCTTCGCCGGCTCCGCTTCGCCCGCTTCGCCTGCCGCCAAGCCCGCTAAGTCGCGGCTGCCGCTTCCGCCCGCTTCGCCAGGCCTGCCGCTTCCGCTTCGCTTCCGCCGCCTGCCTGCCCGCTTCGCCCGGCTCGCTTCCGCCGCTTCCGCCGCCCGCCAGCTTCCGCTGTCCGCCGCTTCCGCTTCGCCTGGCGCTTCCGGCCGCTTCCGCCGCCTGGCCGCCTAACGCCTGCCGCGCCAAGCCGCTTCCCGGCCGCCTATTGCCTGTTGCTTCCATGTTTCCGCTGCCTCGCCTGGGCCGCCGCTTCCGCTTCGCCTGCTCGCCTGCCGCTTCCGCCGCTTCCGCTCGCTGGGGCTTCGCCCGCTTCGGGCCTGCCGCTTCCGCCTGCCTGCTCGCTTCCGCCTGCTCCGCTTCGCCGCTTCGCCTGGCCGCTTCCGCCGCTTCCGCTTCGCTTCCGCTCGCCTGCCGCTTCCGCCTCGGCCGCTTCCGCTCGGGCTGCCCGCCGCCTGCTTCGCCCCCGCCTCGGGCCTGCTTCGCCTGGCCAGTTCCCTTCCGCTTCGCCTGCTTCGCTTCCGCTTCGCTTCCGCTCGCTTCCGCTTCGGCCGCCGCTCCGCCGCCTGGGCTGCCCGCTTCGCCCGGTTCACCCGCCGCTCCGGGCTCGCCTGGCTTGGCCTAAGCCAAGCCTAAGCCAAGCCTAAGCCAAGCCTAAGCCAAGCCTAAGCCAGCCTAAGCCAAGCCTAAGCCAAGCCTAAGCCAAGCCTAAGCCAAGCCTTAAGCCCAAACCTAATCCCCCCGCTAACACACCAGTACCTTTAATGTCTAGCTTCGGTCTTTAGGAATGGGGTCCGATGCCTCCACTTGGAATGTCAGTATTCTGCGTCTACTGCGTCGCCAGCCGAAATATGACGGCCGTACCATGTCTCAAATGTCTTCTCAACACCCAGCGGCTTGGCGATTATTGCTGTGGGTTTTGACCGTTCCCAAATGAACTCTGCTAGCCTGTCGGCCGGCCACATTACCTTTTACAGTGCTGACCGAAAAATCCGAGGCCCCTCCGCGGTACGAAGTGGTTCAGGCCGGTCAGTAGCAGATCACCTGAAACCTTCAAAAATTGTCTTAGAAGAGAGCTTCTGGCCCGAATACTTCGCCGTTTACCCGGAACACAAGAATTTGCAGCAACATCAGGTAGCTTGAGATGGCACTGTCACGCGCCCTTTAAAATGGTTACAGTACCCTCCCACGACTACATCGACGACCACTACGACTACAACTTCGACGAGTACAACGACGACTGCTTCTATGACGACTTCGACAAGTACAACCGAGACAACGGTAAATGATCTCGGCCAGCCTGCCCCTCCCCCTCACAATCCTAAATCCTTTCTGCTAGGAATCCTCTCCCGATCCGCCACTGCCGGTGAACTCCTCCGAGTCGTCGCCGCCACCGAATGCCACCTCGGCCTCCTCGAGCACGACGGCCAAGCCATCGGAACAGAAGCCCGCCAAGCAGCCACCTACGAAGCTGAGGAAGGCGAAGGAGGAGAATCGAGAGTGGTGAGCTTGAATTAGGCTTAGCTTAGGCATGGCTTAGGCATGGCTTAGGCTTGGCTTAGGCTTGGCTTAGGCTTGGCTTAGGCTTGGCTTAGGCTTGGCTTAGGCTTGGCTTAGGCTTGGCTTAGGCAGGCGCAGGCTTGGCTTAGGCTTGGCTTAGGCGTGGCTTAGGCTGGCTTAGGCTGGCAGGCTTGGCTTAGGCCTTGGCTTGGCTTAGGCTTGGCTTAGGCGGCAGGCTTGGCTTAGGCTTGGCTTAGGCTTGGCTTAGGCTTGGCTTAGGCTTGGCTTAGGCTTGGCCTAGGCTTGGCTTAGGCGTGGCTTAGGCTTGGCTTAGGCTTGGCTTAGGCTTGGCCTAGGCTTGGCTTAGGCGTGGCTTAGGCTTGGCTTAGGCTTGGCTTAGGCTTGGCTTAGGCTTGGATTAGGTACGAGATCCCGTGGCTGTGGATGGTGTGGGGTGTGGCGGCGTTGTTCTGCTGCGTGTGTACGTGTATCTGCTACTCGATGTGCTGTAGGAGGAGCGTCGACCCGCAGAACCTCGACGAGCCAGGTAGTGCGCTCTAAAGGGGTACGGACAGTACCTGATGCTCCTTTCAGCCTTCGCCCCCGAATTCGTGAACGTCGAGCCGATGCACCACGAGCTGGGCGCGACGGTGAGTTTTCCTCAAGAATCCCTGCTAGCCTGCCCCTTCCCCTCTCTCCGATCCCAAATGATCTCTGCTAGCCTGCCCCTCCCCCCCCCCCCCCCCCCCCCCCCCCCCCCCCCCCCCCCCCCCCCCCCCCCCCCCCCCCCCCCCCCCCCCCCCCCCTCTCTCTCATCCCAAATGATCTCTGCTAGCCTGCCCCTCCCCCTCTCTCTCATCCCAAATGATCTCTGCTAGCCTGCCCCTCCCCCTCTCTCTCATCCCAAATGATCTCTGCTAGCCTGCCCCTCCCCCCTCTCTCTCATCCCAAATGATCTCTGCTAGCCTGCCCCTCCCCCCCTCTCTCTCATCCCAAATGATCTCTGCTAGCCTGCCCCTCCCCCTCTCTCTCATCCCAAATGATCTCTGCTAGCCTGCCCCTCCCCCCTCTCTCTCATCCCAAATGATCTCTGCTAGCCTGCCCCTCCCCCTCTCTCTCATCCCAAATGATCTCTGCTAGCCTACCACCTCGCTTTTTTTCAGGAAGAAGCCCTGTACTGCCCCCGTCGCAGCCGTACCACCTGGTCCATCCCCACCGTCATCTCGCCCTCCCTCACCGTCGACGAGTAGCCGGATTTTAAAGGGAAAGTGACAGCTCGCCAACTCGCACGGAACGAGTGACTACAATTTTGCCGATATTTATGACGAACGGGCTTCATTTTTTTTTTGTATAGTTTTCTGTATTTTTTGTATTCTCTCGTTTTGCCCTCACCTTTCGATGTATTTTTTGTGCTCGTCTTCGCGTGAATAAATTTTTGCTGTATTTTTATTGCTATTTTTGGGTTTTTTGTGCATTAATAGGCATAAATATCTGCTTAAAAAGGTACTAAAAAATTTATTAGATAGATCAAGTGGACCGAGTGGCGCTGAAGCTGACGTCGATGGGGCCGACCCTGAAAAAAAGTTGTAAAATTGGGCTAAAAATCTTTTTCAAAAAATTCCTGCAAGTCTGCCCCTCGAATTCCTCAAGGAGTCCCTGCTAGCCTACCGATGTCTTCAAAAAAACCTAGAAAAATCGGGTCGAAAATGGGCTTTGAAAATTTGACTAGAACATTCGATTGATGATGTGGTCCTCAAACTCAACGGAAATTTTTTTGAAACATAGCTTATTCATTGTTAAACCAAAGAAAATGTTTCAGGATTCCACGCCGTCGCTGCAATTTTTACTTTTGATAATTTTCCGTTTTTGATGTCTTCGAATTCTTTTTTGTATCGTATTTCAGCTGTGAAATTTCCCAAATAATCCTCGCTAGGGTTTGGGCGTGGTAAAATTGGGATTATTTTGGTTGTCTAGGTTTCTTCATTTTCCTTTATTTCATTTCTGAATCGACGTAAAACTCTACTGGACTAGCAATTTCTCGCGAAGGTCTCCTAAGTATTTTACGAAACACATATTATTCCCAGAACCGAGGGTATCGTTTTCCGTTGTTTTTGTACTAACGGTGGGTTAAAAAATAACACTGGAAAAGCATTTGAAGTCTTTTAGTTTTATTTTGTCGGTTGATCTAAGTTTTTTACAAAATTCTCATTTACTGACCCTGATCTGTGATTTTACCACTAATTGATGGGGCGAATTAATGGCGGTCAGTCTGTTCAGATAAGGCACAGGTTTGCAACATAATTTTGCACCGCCCCGCAGCTACACTACCTTCGTGAATGGCATGGTCAAGGCCTGGCTCTACATTTTCTTATCGCTATTTTTGTCTATAGATTTTGACGCGCCCGCGACTCGCAACGCACGCCCCGCTTTGCTGTCATTAACGAGTCGTAATCGATTGCGCAATGGATAATGATTAAGCAATCGTAGCGTTTTAAGTGTTGTTTCAAACCTAATTAATTCGATGAAATCCAAAATGCCATTGATAAGGTAGCGTCTTAGCGGGTCGGGAGAATTTTTGAAACCGATCTTTGCGAACACTCTTCGTCGCGTTTTTACAAGTTTTAATTGTTTTGGCTCAACAAATGGTCAAAGAAATCAGCTAAATAGCGCAATGTTTTATTAGCTCCCCAAGTTTATATATTTTTCCCAAAAAAAAACGTAATTCTCAGAAATTTAAAAATCCGTGATCCCACATTGCTCGTCAAGTGTTTTAAGGCCTATGTCCTTCCAATAGTCGATTTCGCCTCCCCCATTTGGTCACCGCGGACTAAGCTCTGGTGCGACAAATTGGAAAAAATTCAGAAGACCTTCACACGAATAGTGTTCCAGCGCTGCAACCTCCCGCCCCAATCATATCCTGTTAGATTGGAGTACCTGAAACTTCATACTCTCCATCACAGACGCATAACTAATGACCTCGCCCAGGGCTTCAAAATCCTTCATGGCCTTTGCCACGTCCCCCGTTCCTCTATTTTCACCTACAAATTGGGTTTTGGTAGAAACAAGAGGCTGCTCTTCCAAGTTCCTAAAGCTAGAACCGAGTCCCGCAGATGCGCCTTCTCGTCCCGCATAACCCGGTGGTTCAACCTGCTCCCTCCTCGCATCCTGGCACAGCGTAGCCCCAATTCCTTCCGGCAGAGTTTACGCAAGCTTGATCTTCTTCAAATTCTTAAAATTGATCCCCGTAACCTAGGTCCCGTCCAGCCATAATACCATCTCCTCCTACTTCACCTCTAATCTAACGCCGCCCCGCCGGCCTCTTGTTTTAGAATGAAACCTACACACAGCCTCATCCTCGACGGATCTTGATCAATATACTCTTGCAAGCAACGCCTCCATCTCGACCTTCCCAGTACGTCAGCCCGTCACCACCTACACCAAGGGCAGAATTTCCCTCTCAATTCCCGTACTGTTTGTTGCCTTAATACCTACCTCTCCTCCTTCCCTATCTATGTGACGCCTCTCCTCAAACCTAATCCTCAACGCTCGACTTCCCAGTAAGCAAAAAGTGATCTCACTAGCGGGATGCCCTACGGGGTAGTACCGCCATGCTGACAGGAGAACAGCCCAAGGATCGTCCACCCTTTAAATCGTCACAAACCCCCCATCCTCCACCTTTTTTTTCTCAATGGTTTCTCCCCCTTTTTCTGTGATTTTTTTTCATACTGTGATTTTTTACCTCGTTGCGTGTGCAACGGCGCCCTGTGCGCAGAATAAAAAAAAAAATAAAAAAAAAATAATTTAATAATCCCTTCCCGAATTTCAGGTCGAGTGCTAAGCGATTTTAGACTGACAACCACAGACCATCGATTAATCCCTGCTCCCCCCTTACAGGTAAGGCCTCGGTTTGCAACACATTTTTGCACCGCGCTGTAGCTATCCGATGCTTTTTAAAGGCACGAACCAGGCCTGGTTATAGATTTGCTTGTTGCTGGATTTGTCTAAAGATTTTGAAGCGCGCGCGACATGTAACGTGGCCCCGCTTGGCTACTGTTAACGGGTCGTAATCGATTACGCAACTGATAGCTATTACGCAAGCGTTGGGTTTTGCGTGTTAGTTCAAACGTAATTTATCAGGCCAAAAAGCGTAGAAATATTATGAAGTTAAGACCTAAGCGGATCGGAATAATTTTTGCAACATATCCTTGCAAACACTGTTTTTCATATTTCTATCAATTTTAATTAAAGAAAAGAAAGGGTAAAAACCAAATAAAATAGTGCTGTTAATCTATTTTGAAAGCAACCTAAGTTAGTAATCTCTTCCTGAAATTCTGGGCGAGTTGTTTAGACCCCAACTACCGTCGAGCAATTAACCTCGGCTCCCCCTTACAGGTAGGGCCTCGGTTTGCAACACAATTTTGCAACTGCGCCGCGGCTAGCCGATGCTCTTTAAAGAAATCGATTACGCAACTGTTAGCGTTGGGTTTACGTGTTAGTTTAAACGTGATTTATAGGGCTAAACGTCTATGATTATGAGGGTAAGACCAAAGCGGACGGCCAGAAGTTTTGAAACATATCTTTGCAAACACTGTTTTTCATATTTTTATCAATTTTAATTAAAGAAAAGAAAGGGTAAAAATCAAATAAAATAGTGCTGTTAATCTATTTTTACAACAACCTAATTTAGTAATCCCTTCCCGAAATTCTGGTCGGCTTCTCTGCGATTTTAGACTCCTGTCCAGAAGCAGGTACCCATTAATCGCTTCTAGTTTTCCCCGAAAGGAAAGGGCTTTTTGCAACATATTTTTGCACCGCGCTGCAGCTATCCGATGCTTTTTAAAAGGCACGGACAAGGCCTGGTTATAGATTTTCTTGTTGCTGAATCGGTCGATAGATTCTGACGCGCCCGCGACACGCAACGCTCACGCGCCGCGTGGTTGCGATTAGCGATTCGTCATCGATTACGCAATGGATACCCATTACGCGGTCGTTGCGTTTTACGTGTTAGTTCAAAAAGAATTAATACGATGAAATATGAACCCACATTAATAAAGTGAGACCTCAGCGCTTCGGAAGAGTTTTTGAAACATACTTTTGCAGACGCTGTTTGTCGTGTTTTGAGAAGTATTGATTATTTTGGCTCCAAAATAATAAAAAAATTAGCGAAACAGCGCTTTATTTTTTATTAGCTCCCCAGTTTGATATTTTTCCCAAACTAAAGTAATTTAATAATCCCTTCCCGAATTTCAGGTCGAGTTCTAATAAGCGATTTTAGACGGACAACTACAGACCACTGATTAATCCCTGCTCCCCCTTACAGGTAAGGCCTTCGTTTGCAACACAATTTTGCAACGGCGCCGCGGCTAGCCGATGCTCTTTAAAGATACGGGCAGGGTCTGGCGATATCTTTTTTGTGTGCTAGATCTGTCTATCGAACCTGACGCGCCTGCGACACGCAACGCACATGCCCCGCTTGGTTGCTATTAACGGGTCGTAATCGATCACGCAATGAATAACGATTAAGAAATCGTTGCGTTTTACGTGTTATTTCAAAAATAATTACCCTAAAACCACGTGTATAGTTCCGAACAATTTGGTTACGTAACAATACAAATCACACCAAATAATATGCGTAGTAGACAATTCGCCGCAAAAGCTATATAAGGCCAAAAAGATGATTCTCTAGAGCCCCACCATCAATTTCTTGCATTAAACCACTTAAAATATTGCAAATAGGCGAAATGCTATCAATAATGCAAACGAAATCGCGAAAATCCCACCCGCGAACCGAGATATTTGCAAAAACACGAAAAAACGAAACACACCAGTTTACGGTCATACGGAGTTACGGAAAGTTCGTATTTTCACCCGGAACTATACACGGGGAGGATCTATAAACGAGGTTTTAGGGTAATACGATGAAAACTGACGTCACATTAATAAAGTGAGACCTAAGCGCTTCGGAAGAGGTTTTGAAACATACTTTTTGCAGACGCCGTTTGTCGTGTTTTAGAAGGTTTGATTCTTTTGGCTTCACAAATGGTCAAAAAATCACCGAAATATTGTTTTATTTTTCTATTAGACCCTGAAGTAAATCTATTTTCCAAAAAAACCTAGTTGACTGATCCTTCCCGAAATTCAGGTGGAGTTCCAGGCGATTTTAGACAAGCAACCAGACAGAGACTACCAATTAATCTCTGCTAGCTTGCCCCGAAAAGGTCTGTTTTTGCAACACATTTTTACACCGCCCCGCAGCTATTAGATCCTTTTAAAGGCGTCTGGACA